AAAAAAAAAAAAAAACTGTGTAATCCTAATGGCTGGAAATTGTATGTGAAATTCAAATACAGAAATCTTTGAGTGCATGGAGCTGTCAATCAAAAAAAAAAACTGTCCAGTAGAGTCACAGCACATTTTACCTTCTAGTTAAAGGGTTAGTTCACCCAAAAATGAAAATTCTGTCATTAATTACTCACCCTCATGTTTTTTCAAACCCGTAAGACCTCCGTTCATCTTCAGAACACAAATTAAGATATTTTTGATGGAATCTGAGAGCTGTCTGACCCTGCATAGACAGCAACGCAACTGAAATGTTCCCAAGTCCAGATACGTAGCAAGGAGATCTGTAAAATAATCCATGCGACATCAGGGGTTCAACCATAATTTTATGAAGCTACAAGAATACTTTTTGTGCGCAAAAGAAAAAAAAAACGACTTTATTCCTCCGCGTCACCCTGTAGAGCCATTTTGGAGAGTATCAGCTGGATGTAAACAGCGTATGCTGTTCTGTGTCAGCTGCGTCACACGGATACGTGGTTTCCGTTCAGATCAAATCACAACAACGTAGAAAACCGATCCGATACATTTTACAGTTGTATTGCTGTCTATGCAGTGTCAGACAGCTCTCAGATTCCATCAAAAATATCTTAATTTGTGTTCTGAAGATGAACGAAGGTCTTACAGGTTTGAAACGACATGAGGGTGAGTAATTAATGACAGTTTTTCATTTTGGATGAACTATCCCTTTAACAGTAACTTAAAGGAGAAGCGTATAATTTATGCCCTCATCTGCCATTGTTCAGACAAAGCTCGGGATCTCTGCATATTAAAGAGGAATAGAATAAAGTATTTCACATAAAGAATGACTTCACCGTTGATTTGTGTCAGTGTGGATGGACAGGTCGCGGGTTGAGTTTGTCACTGAGTTTCTGTATGAGGAGTGAGAGTTCTTCTGTGGCCTGAGATTTCTCCTCCAGCAGCTCATATCGCAGACTGGAAATATCCTGCTTGATCTCCTTCAGCTCGCCTACAGATCAAACACAAATATATATGAAAATATGAACATTGTCAAGAACATTTGGGGGTAAAAATATGCATAATTGTCATGCAAAGAATATAAAAAAGAAAAAATTCTTAATGATCCTTAAATAGACTTAATATTCTGTAATCAAAATATGATTTTTTTTTTACTTTATTTTTCTTTCATTTATGAGGTGCAATATGACCTGGACATGTTTTTGTCAGACTTACTCTTACATAAACTTTGAGAATTATTACATCCAGATCATATTAGCTTTATCATTGAATCATCCTTTTTTAATATCCAATTGGTTGGTTTTATGGCAAACAAGAATCTCAATGTAAGTCTCACTTTACCTTCGTTCACTTCATCATTTTCTTTGTCCACTTGTGCTTTCAGTACATAGCGTTTGATGAGACGCTTCATAATTTGCTGTGTGAGGGAATCAGACAAAATGAAGATCAGAGAAATGGATAAGGGTGAAATCTGCAGTGATGATTCATCGTATGAGAGAGAGAGAGATGATGGCGGTCTTGCCTGATAGCGTGTGGGTTGATTTAGGATGCTGTTGAAGCTGTGAGAGTCTGGCATCCTCATGCTAGACTGGGTGAAGAGGTTCAGCTGTAAGCATTGAGACATATTGATTATTGATGATGATCTCATAGGGGTTTCAATAACTGATTAAATGATTTCAGTAGTTGAGATCAAAACCACTGAAATTTCACAATTTCACAAGTGGTGTTGATTCCAATTTCAACACCACAACAAAACCTATGTATAATATAATATTAATATTAAATATATCTATATCCATCCATTCTATAATAATATAATATATTTAAATATAAATGTAATTGTTAACAAATGAAGAAATGACATGTAGCCATTTTTACAATCAGGTAATAATTAAAATAACGAATTTAACAGTTAATAAAAAAGAATCAACAAAAATAAATCACAAGAAATGAAACAAAAACAATAGAATAAAGGCACTAATGATGTAAACAGGGCTTGCAGCTTCACATGTAGCTAACTGCAGTTTTAAGCATACAAGTAAACATTCAGAAATGGACAAAATTTCAGAAGCAAATAAATGCAAAATAAAATTATCTATAAATGTTGGCCACCAGGGGGCGTAACAAACCACTGAAATCACTGAAGACTTTCTCAGCATTGTTGTTAGTAGGGCTGTGAATCTTTGGGTAGACAGCGAATCGATTCGATTCACGATTCATAGGTTTTCGATTCGATTCAAGAACGATTTTTGCAAATTCAGAACGATTAAATTCGATTCGATTCACAATTAAATTCGATTCGATTCGATTAACGATTAGATTCTGCATTCTTTAAGTGCATTCACAGGATTATTTAAATGCTTCCCCTAAATTCTTTAAATGCTTAGTCAGGGGGCGAATTACACAGCAACCTTTATGGTTAGAGAACCATAGGTTAGAGAAGAAAAAAAAACACCTTTGCCCATTGTTAGATGCTAGTTTAATGATGCTATGACATGACATGGCATATGTAGAAATGTATGCTTTATACAGTTTAGCTGCATATATAGCCTGGCACGTCTATGAGCGCAAGATCACTTCTCTTTCAGTCCGAAAACGTCTTTATCTCGTTTTCATCAAATAAAATGCTATAGTATTTAACTTTTCCACTCCATCTGCGAATGATGATTCTGAAAGAAAACGCGCCTGATGTCTGTTTGTTTCAAACTACTTTATGGCGTTAAAAATAACGCCATATTCACAGGCGATAAATAGTGGAGCGCGAGGAGAGATGCGAGGCACGAACACCACGATTCAAGGTCTCCATTAATTCGTGCTTGTAGTAATTTAATGTGTATATATATTTGAAAGCATTGAATCGCTATAGAAATCGTGATGCATTCGATTCTTAGCGTTTTAAATCGATTACTGTCCGAAATCGACGATTCGCGATGAAAAAATCCCTGTTTCAAGATCGATTGCATCGTCAGGGTTTATAATCCATGCGTCGAGAAAACGAGTGAATCGTTACACCCCTAGTTGTTAGTGTTAACTAAAACCATAAAAAAAAATGTTTTCAGTAACTGAAATAAAATAAAATACATATAATTTTTTTTTAAAACTGCCATTATTTCAGTTGTTTTCCAAGGCAAAATGTCTAATTTTACTTTAAGCTTAAGTTCTAAAACTACTAAAACTAAAACAGAAATATAAAGAACATTAAAGCTAGAAATATTGGAAAATACTGAAAAAACAATAACGAATAAAAATGTCAAAAGCATATAATAAAATAGGCTAACTAAAACTAAATTAAAATATAAACTGAAAATAGAAGATATTTAAAATATCACTAAATACTATAATAGTAATTAACACTAAAATAACACTAATTCGCAATTTTTCTGCCAGGATATTATCCAGTAATCAAGTAACGGACATTTCCATCAATAAAACACCTGTAAAAAAAAAATCAATATGATGACATTAATATGAAAATTCCTTGATATTAGTACAGTACATTGTGCCCTATTTGACAGATTTCTTACAGTGTAGTTCAACAGTTCATACTGTAAAGACAGACTCAAACAACCGCCTGTGGTAATTGAAGCACAAATTACAATCTGATGCGATAATAATTGAACTCATAACAGCTTGAATGTCCCTGTGCATGAGTGAATGTTATGAAGGTAGAATGACGTCAAAAAGATTTGCATACGCAGGGTAAGACTTGTGGAAGTGTACATAAGACTGTAAGCGTAAACTAAATTTGCATGCGCAAGAGAAGCTTTGTAAAGGTGTAAATTGCGTTTCAAGCATAAGAAAAAATTATTTGCAGCATTTTACTGTTACTCGTAAGTGTAATTCATGTATTGTGAAACTGCAGCTTCATGCTAACGCAAAATAAATATGATCTGCATGCTTCTGACTTCCATTTTTCCGCGCTTACACTTTTGACACGTTTTTTTCGCCAAAAGACGGTCAAAAGCACTGCAAGCCTGTGAACAGTGATTTGCAAGCGAAAACAACAGTTTAAAGAACTGCAAAACGGATTGACTGCATAGAACCAATCTGTATGTGTACAAAACTAACTGTTGCAAATGTCTAAATGACTTGTTGTGTACGTGGGGCAAAAAGTTCCCGAAATAAACCGATATGTACAGCTCCGTCTTTCTTTTCTCTG